CCTGAAGACCTTTAAGTCCTTCACGTTACAAATGAGCAAACTAGACTCCAAACCAGAGGTTGACTAAGCCCAGGAGGGAGGAAATAAATGAATTACACAAGCTACTTATAAGAAAAGGAGTCACTGGGTGGTACAAACAGTTAAGTGTTTCACTGCTAACTGGAAGGTTGGAGGTCGTACCTCAGAAGAAAGGCCTCACGATCTAGATCCAAAAAATCAGTCATTGACAACCCTAAAGAGTGTGGTTCTATTCTGACATACATGGGATCACCATGGCAAATGGTTACTAATAAGAAAAACTACCATTAGTTGAAGGAGCTCTGGTAGCTTAGTGGTTATGAGTCAGGCTGCTAACCTCAAGGTCAGCAGTTCAAAACTACCTATCAGACATTCCACAGGAGAAAAATGATGTTTTCTGCTCCCGTAAAGATTTACAGCCTTGAAAACCCTATGCAGGGTCGCTATGAGCTGGGAGCAACTCCACGGCACAAACCATCACCACCACCTTAATTACTTGCTCTGCTGGGCATGTGCTAGGCACTTAACACAGACTCACTGAATCCTGTCAATCACACTGGTAAGTATGGGGATCTTTGGTGGAAACTGCTTGTTGTCCCTTAAAACACGTTAGCCCTTTCTTCCACAGTAATCGAGCTGAAGCTGGGTAGATGGTCTCGTAGCTGATGAATGAATTTTCTACCCAAATTTCAGCTCCCCCTTAAGTCCTGGTATGGCGCTATAGGACAAACAGTAGACCACAAAGTTAGCAGTTCAAACCCACCAGCTGCTCCTCGGAAACCCTATATACCAGGTAGCTATGAGTTGAAACTGACTCGATGGCACTTAACAACATCCTGTAGTTACGTGAGGCCACAAGTCTGAATTCTTGCCAATGGAGAGTGCGTACTACTGGCCCAGGGTTCATAAGTGGGCATGTTTATAGGGTGTGACCTGGCTTCTGACATGCAGATGACAACAAGGCCTTGAGGGATGGCAAAGTCACAAGAGGAAAGGCATGTGGCAGAGTCAGCACTGTCCTTGTACTCTAGACCAGGGCTAGGCACACTAGAGTCTGAGTCAAATTCAGTCCACTGTCTATTCATGTGAATAAAGTTTTATTGGAACACAACCCCACACCAAATCACTTACATAGTGTCTATGGCTGCCTTAGGGCTAAGGTAGGCTGAGTAGTTTTAAAAGAGATCACCTGGCTTGTAAGCCTAAAATATGTACGATCTGACCCTTTACAAAGCTTGCCAAATGCTGTTTAGACTGTTTTTTAGAAAGAAATACACTTCAATGTTCTGGAAGCCACCAAATTTTGGGATCTCTCTGTTATTACAGCAGCTTGCTGTATTTGGTCACTGCCATTGAATTGTTCAAGACATAAGGCCTACCCCATGCACATTGGAACACAACTCTTCTGGTCCCATGCCATCTCTGGTTGTGGAACAAGTCTCCACTGACAGATGGACCCAGCTGCTCATGAGGTGCACTGGCCGGGAACAGACCCTGTGTCTCCCACATGGGAGACAAGAATCCTACCACTGAGCCATCAGTGCCTTATTTTGGAAAAACCCAAACCTCCAAGTGTCCAAGTAGAACCGCTTGAAAGTAGTCTTTAGAATTGATCATCAGGCCTTTATTTACAGCACCATTTGGCAGGTTTAAACCACCAAACTTTAGGTTAGTAAGTGATGCCAAACCTTCCAGTAGCTTAAAAAAAAACAACAACAAACCAGCTGCCATCGATTAAGACTCAAGGTGACCCATGTGTTTCAGAGGAGAACTGTGCTCTATAGGATTGTCAATGGGTGTTCTCTTTCAGAAACATTACCAGGACTTTCTTCTGAAGCTCCTCTGGGTAGATCCAAACCACCGAGCTTAATCATTTGCTCCATCCAGGGACTCTTTATCTTACTCTAGTATGTTGTTGTTGCTGTTAAGTGCCACTGAGTTGGTTCCAACTCATAGTGACGCTGTGTAGGGTTTCCAAAGAGCAACTGGTGAGTTTGAACTGTCGACCTTGTGGTTCAAACAGACGTGGAGGTTGAGTGCTTATCCTATGGCACCATGCCAGGACTCTAGTATAGGCTATTAAATCTACGTTGTTACTATGTAGTGCCATCTCATTATCCCAACTGTATATTCTTCTCTTTTAGGAGACTCACATTTCCATCAGCTTTTTCTCCCACAAAGTCCTGGTGTGGCACTGTAGGATCAGTACTAGACTGTGAACCACAAAGTTGGCAGTCCAAACCCACCAGCTACTCCTCAGAAACTGTATATAATCAGTTTTTATGAGTTGGAACCTACTCAACAACACTTAACAACAACAACCACAACAACAAGTATACCAGATCTCTCAAGGGGTGGTACCTGCACGGGAGTGTGCAGCTTGTTAGAAATGCTCACCCAAGTTCAATCAAATGTCAGGTGGGGAAGGGAGGTTCCACTCTATTTGTAACAAGCTCCACAAATGATTCTTAAATCTGAGAACCACTTAACTAGGCAGTAAGCCTCAAGCATCCACAGAAACCCTCAAGATAGCTGTTGGTGGGTGCAGTCATGGTGACTCCAAGTCACAGCGACCCCAGGCAATGGAGTTGAGCCTCTCCATAAGGTGCTGGGTTGTAATCTTTATGGAAGCAGAGCACCCTGTATTTTTCCCTTGGAGCCAGTAGATCTGAACACGCAAACCTTTGGTTTCCAGCCGAGCACTTAACCATTGTTGCACAAGGGCTCCTAACAAATGGACACTTGTTGTTGTTGTTAAGTACCGTCGAGTCGGTTTCAACCCATAGTGATCCTGTATAGGGTTTCTGAGGAATAGCTGGTGAGCTTGAACCGCCGACCTTGCAGTTCAAATGGCTTTGCAGTCTGACACATTGGCCTATAGTGCCACACCAGGTCTCCAATTGGACAATAACATGACTCTTTTTTTAAGTTGTTAAGGATTTCATTTTACTTGGATCCACACTCAACACCCATAGAAGCAGTAAAGAAATCAGTAACATACTACATTGGGCAGATCTGCTGCAAAAGATCTCTTTAATGTGTTAAAAGCAAAGATGTCATCTTGAGGACTAAGATGCACATGACCCAAGCCACAGTATTTTCAAACACCTCATTGTTGTTGTTGTTAAGTGCCGTCGAGTAAGTTTCGACCCATAGCGACCCTGTACACGGTTTCTGAGGGTGTAAATCTTTACGGGAGTAGAAAGCCTGATCTTTCTCCCACGGAGCAGCTGGTAGTTTCGAACCACTAAACTTAAGGTTCGCAGCCCGATTCGTAACCACTACGCTACCAGAGCTCCTTCAAACACCTCATATGCCTGTGAAAATATGTTGGACAATATGAATAGGACGACCAAAGAATTGATGACTTTGACTTAGGGTGATGGCACAGAATATTAAATATACCATGGTCTACCAGAGGGTTGCAAACCTCAGGGTCAGCAGTTCGAAACTACCAGCTGTTTCACAGGAGAAAGATGAGGCTTTCTGCTCCCGTAAAGATTTACAGCCTTAGAAACCCTGTACAGGGTCGCTATGAGTTGGAACCGACTCTATGGCACATCACAACAACAACAACCAGAGGGTCAGCGAAAAAGAGGAAGCCCCCCAATGAGATGGGTTGGCACAGTGACAGCAACAGCAATGGGCTCAAGTGTAGCAGCAATTGTGAGGATGGTGCAGGACCGGATGGTGTTTTGTTCTGTTGTACGTAGGGTTGCTATGGGTCGGAACCGACTGACAACATCTAACAACAACAACCAGAACAAACAAATCTGTCTTGGACGAAGTACAGTCAGAAAGCTCCTTAGAAATTAGGATGATGAGACTTTGTTTCATGTACTTTGGATATGTTATCAGGAGGAACAGTCCCTGGAGAACATCATGCTTGGTAGAGAATCGGTGAAAAAGAAGAGGACCCTCAACAAGGCAAACTGACCACAGTGGCTGCAACAATGACCTCACACATAGTAACAACTGTGAGGATGGCACAGGACTGGGCAGTTTTTCTTTCTGTTGTGCATAGGGTCACTAATGAGTCACAATTGATTTGAAAGTATGCTCAGTCTAAGGGAACGAACTATAACAGTGGGGGAAAGATGCACTGTTACGCAGATGGTCTACATTTGATGCTTAGCTCTACCAGCTCCAGTGCTGCACCGGGGCTTCAGTTTCCTCCTCTGTAAAAATGGGAATTTCATCTCTTCATCTCACAGCTTAGTGATAGGATTAACTGAGAATACAAGTGGAAGCAGTTGCTCAATATGCATCAGTTTTCTTCAACGACCTTTGATAACATTGTCATTCCAGAATTCTTTACAAATCTCAAAAGATTCCCAAGGTAAATTTCAAGCTACAGGCTTCAGTCTCCCTTAGAGGAAAGATTTCACATCTCAGGCGGTATTTAAGCGACTGTTGTTAGTTACAAAGGAGTTGATGCCAACTCTTGGTGACTCCATGTGCGGAGTAACACTGCTGCTTCTCAGAAGCCCTGGACAGCTGGGCCGCTGTGAGTAAAGGCACCTAACAATAGCAATCACAATCGGGATCTCGAGACTCTGACCATTGGGAAGTAGATCGCCAGGCCTGTTTTCTAAGCGCCTCTGGGTGTGTTTGGAGTCCTGCTTGTGCTACTGTAGGATAAGCACTGAACTGCCAACAAGATTGGCGGTTCAAACCCACCAGTCGCTCTTTGGAAACCCTCTACATGGTCGCTATGAGCCGGAACTCCACCGCATTTGTGTATCCATCACCTCTGTGCCCTTCCCTCTTTGAAGCTCCCCTTCACTTCCAACCCTCTTCCCCTCTGGAGGTCCTCCGACCTCCGGTTACTCCCTCAGGCCCTCTGAGCGATCCATTCTCACTCCCAACCCTGAGTCTCCCGCACTTCCTCCCCTTGGCCCCGCCTCCAACCTGCAGCCGACAGAGCCACTATTCCTCAGCAGAAAGTTGAAGACAATTAATGATCTGGTTCCCCGCCTCACCTCTAGAGCGACACCCAGATTCTCCCGCTTCTTTTTAGTCATGTTATTTGATGGAATCCCCCGGTCATTACTGGAAGCGCCCGCCACTTCGCACCACGCATGCGCAAATCCTCGTACTCCTCCCTCATTGGCTGCAGGGTCTTTCGGTCGCCATTTTATTGAGGGGCGCTGCCAGTTTGCAGTGGCCATGTTTATGAGGGGCAACATTTTGTTTGTGGCCTCGTGGCCTTAGTCTCAGCCCCAGTTCCGTTGTTAAGTGCCCGAGTGGGTTTCGACTAATAGCAACCTTGCATAGGGTTTCCTAGGTTTTAAATATTTTTTTTGTGTGGGAGCAGACAGCCGCCCACCTTGCGGGTTCACAGACCAGTGCTTATACTATGGCGCTACCACGTTCCCTAGCTCTAGTTCTGGGGGAGAATTAGGAGGAACAATGACCCACCCAGAGGGCAGCTGTTCCTTTCCTTCATAATTCAGGGCCAATTTACGTCACTGACAGCCTTTTCTTCACCCATTTTTAGCCTTCTGTGTACTACATCTTTTCAATATTAATCCAATATTAGTCTACCATACTCAGAACCAATCTGAGGGCAATTAACAATAACCCTCCTGGTGTGGCGCTGTAGGATAAGCACTGAACTGCTAACCGCAAAGTTATTGTTAAGTGCCATAGAGTCGGTTCCCATTCATAACGACCCTTTGTAGTGTTTCCTAGGAGTGGCTGGTGAGTTTGAACCTCCAACTTTGCGGTTGAGTGCTTATCCTACAGCGCCACACCAGGCCTCTAAACCCAAGGTGATTTTGGTTCAAACAACGATTGTGAGGATGGCGTGTTGTTATGTGCCGTTGAATCGGTTCCGACTCATAGCGACCCTGTACAGGATTTCCGAGGCTGTAAATTTTTACGGGAGCAGAAAGCCTCATCTTTCTCCTGTGGAACAGCTGGTAGTTTCAAACTGCTGACCTTGCGGTTCACAGCCAGATTCGTAACGGCTACACCATCAGAGCTCCTAAGTATGGCGTAGGACCAGGCAATGTTTCACCCTGTTGTGCAGCACTTAACAACAAAAACATTCAATAGTAAGAGCTTCCTGGTGGTGCAGTGGCTAAGCACTTGGCTGCAAACCAAAATGTCTGTGGTTGGCAGTTGGAGCTCAACAGCAGTTCAGAGAGAGAAAGCTGTGGCAGTTACTTCCATAAATGTTACAGCCTTGAAAACCTTTATGGGGCAGTTCTATGTTACATGGGGTCACTTTGGGTCATGAAATGCAGTTAATAGGTCTCCTGTCACCAGCTTATTTTTTAAAATCAGAGTGCATCATAGAGGGTGAGGATATTTATCATGTTGTTGTTGGGATGTGCCGTGGAGTCGGTTCCGACCCATAGCAACCCTGAACAGGGTTTCTGAGGCTGTAAATCTTTACGGGAACAGAAAGTCTCCTCCTTCTCCCGCGGAACAGCTGGTAGTTTCCAACTGCTGACCGTGAGGTTCGCAGCCTGATTCGTAACCCCGACGCTACCAGAGCTTCTATCAGGAGACTTTGGTTATTTGATAAATTGGGCCAGGATATAAAATATATTTTTTTATTTTAGGGTCACAGTGAAAACATTTCCAAGGCCACAGGTGTACCATGTTCTGTGCAAAAGGATTACTACAGGATAAAGCACAGTGTGTGAGAGAGACTGTTAAGAATGGTAGCAGGAATGATACAGCTTTTCATTTATAAGTTTCCTGTGGTGTCTGTAAACTGTTTTCACAATAACACAAGAAAACGAGTGAAAACACAAGACAAAAAGGAGAACTACACAAGAAGGCCATGTTCAGATCCCAAAGGGATCAAAGCAAGACTCCCTAAGGAGCAAGACTTCAGGTTGGGCCTAGTAGGATGGACAGAATTTAAACTGGGAGTTGTTGATATTGTTAGGTGCCATGAGTAAGTTGAGACTTATAATGACCTTTATGCACAACGGAATGAAACACTGCCGGGCCTACACCTTCCTCACAATCGGTGTTATGTTTGAACCAATTGTTACAACCACTGTGTCAATCCATTTCCATATTGAGGGTCTTCGTCTTTTTCGCTGACCCTATATTTTTCCAAGTATCCTTCTCCAGGGGGCTGGTCCTTCCTGATAACATGACGATCTTTACTACGTAAGAGGATTTGTTTTTGTTGTTGTGAAGTTCTGTCTAGTGGGTTCTAACTGATGGTAACTCTGTATAGGGTTTCCAAGGAGCAGCTGTTGAGTTTGAGCTGCTGACCTTGTGGTTTGCAGTCCAGTGCTTATCCTACAGCACCACACCAGCGTGAACTGCAACTTGAAGAACACTATCATAAGCATTTCCCCATGAAATTATCGTTTATGATAGCTGAATATGCCACCAACTGAATACATTCCACTCTTGTATTGAACATTATTTTATTGGATGTTGCCTCCATATTATACTAAAGCAAGTATCTTCGAGCATGCAGCTCTGGTCTTTCTGACGCTTTAAGATAAATTCGCATAAGTGGACTCATTAGTTCAAAGAGTATGAGACCATAATTGAAGCTCTTTATTTCTAGCCCTGTTATCTCTCACTGGAACTTGTGTTCCAATGTGTGTGAATAATATCCCCAGCCCATTGTTTGTGGGGAGGGGAAATGTTTTCAAATCTGTGTTCTGATAGAGTCATTGAATGATGGAACTGAAGGGGACCTGAGATAGCATCTCGCCTGGCTGCTTGACTGAGGCTCACAGAGAGAAAGCATAGTAAATTATGTCTGAACAGAAAGCAGGCTGTTGAATAGTTGTTTAGTGCAGTCCCCAACTTAACACCAAGCACAGGAAAGACTTACTCAAGAACATGGTCCATCAACCATCAACAGCCTTTATTGTCAGAACAATCTTCCCAGCTCTGGTTCCAATCCAGAAAAACCAGATTCTGTAATTCTCAATGATCACAGGCACCAGCCCAGGGGAGGTGAGAAGAAGAGGAAAACACTGTGTTCTTTTAGAAGTGACTCCTTCTGTTTGCTTGGCTCTAAGAAAAAGCCAAGGAGATCTGGGTGTACTTCTTGCCGGTCCCTTGTCTCTCTCCATTCCTTTGCAAAATGAAGGGTGAGCTGTCATCATTTCCCCTGAAGTAAAAGTCCTTGTTGCTGTCAAATCGGTTCCAAATCATGGCAACTGCATCTGTGCCAGAGTAGAACACTGCTCTTTGGGTTTTCAAGGTCTGCAACCCAGGCCTTTCTTCTGAGGTGCCTTTGGGTTGGTTCAAACCACCAGCCTCTTAGTTAGTAGTTGAGTGTTTAACTGTTTGTGCCACCCGGGAACTCCTCAGCCTTGTGGCACAAACTGGCAATGAGGCAAAACACTTGAGACAGTACTGGAATGAGAGACTACGTGGGGTGTGGTGAGAACCACCTGATTACAATCCCAGCTCTGCCACTTGGCAGCAGTGTGCTTTGGAGTAAGATCCTTGACCTCGATGAGTCTCAGTTTCCATGTGTGTAAACCAAGCGCATGGTGCCAGTCTCAGGGTCATTGTGAGAATTACTAAGTGGTCGGTACGCTGGCTGCTGAGTGACAAGGACAGGCTGCTGGACTGAGCGCCTGCTGCTGACTTTTCATTATACTGGTTCACTTAGCAGCTGTTGTCACTCATATTTCTTGTTATTATTTTGATAGTGATTTCTATAGGCTTTGACATTATTGTATAGCATATATCTTGATATGTGTGTGGGGCAAATAATTGGGTTGTTTCTTTGCTATCAAAGGTGTGTTGTTGTTGTGGTTAAGTGCTGTCAAACTGGTTCTAAATCATAATGACGCTGTATAGGGTTTCTGAGGAGCAGCTGGTGGATTTGAACTGCTGACCTTGTGGTTTGCAGTCCAGTGCTGATCCTGCAGAGCCATACCAGGTATGTAGTTCATTGCAAAGGCAGACCCCCATCAGGTGCCTCTTTCTTTAGAATAAGACTCCCTTTTCATATCCCTACTTATTTATCCTTCTTTCTGAGACTTTTGGTGTATCCAGACATTGTGGACAATGGAGACCCCCGTGATGTCAGGGAAACTAGAAAAACCCCAGGCAACATTTCGTGCTTCTGGTACATTCGGAGAACAGTTTTGATTCCCATGGGAGCTGTTTGCTAATCTTTATGCAGCATGGCCTGGCTTCATGCTGGAAATTCTGCCCATGCAAAAATGGATTACTGTGGGCTGACCGTCTGTTTGTCGGCCTGTCTGTCTTTGTTTCCCAGTGAGCTGTGATTCTGAGTCGTTATTTGGCAGTTTTAGAGCTGAGTGCTGAAGGGAAATAAAACACTGAGTTCATGCAAGGTCAGTTCTCATTGCATGGCCTTGGGCAGGTCGAGCCTCCTCTTTGACTTTCAATGTCCTCATTTACAAAATGGGCACAGTAGAGAGAACTGAACTGCAGAATATTTATTGGGACTCTTCCAGCTGAGAGGCCCCAGATTCTGGTTTTGCAAACACCCTCATAGACTGTAAAGTAGACATTTAAAATAAGAGCTAATAAAGATATCTTCAATGTAGTTATAAGACAGACTGACAACATGAAATAACAAATGTCAGACATCATCTGATTAAATGCCAGCTGTCTGGTACATATTGTTGATACTATAGGAGTATTTGGGGTGGCTTTGTGGAGGTTGTGGGTGCTAGATAGATGAGATTGGGGTAGGTGGAGTGGGCACCCCAGGTCCAAGGGAACAGTTGAAAAAAATGGGTAGAGGAAGAGTCTAACTGAAAAATTGATAGTTCAAACCCATCCACAGATTCCTTAGAAGACAGGCTGCTGATCTACTTCCAAAAGGTCACAGCCTTGAAAACCCTATGGATCAGTTCTACTCTGCACACACTTATGTTGTTGTTGTCAGGTGCCATCGAGTCGGAACCGACTCATAGCGACCCCATGCACAGCAGAACGAAACAATGTCCGATCCTGGGCCAACCCCACCACTGCTGCCACACTTGACACCATCAATGATGCCACCTGGCCAATCCATCTCTTTGGGGGTCTTCCTCTTTTTCTCTGACCCTCCATCTTACCCAGCATACCATCCTTCTCCAGCAACTGTTC